TTCTTAATCTTTTATAGGTGGAATCTTAAATGTTGAACATAGATTGCAAAGGGTATTGAAACTACGACGAAGCAAGAATAACATTTCCTCTTGATTTATAATGCCCATCCGTGTTTGTAGTCGTATTGTATTGTTTTGTTCGACTTGGAAAATTGGGCTAATTCTGTTTGCTTATAAACAAGTGTAAACTGAGCCAGCAAGCCGGCAGGCAGGAAGGCTTTAGCCGTCAGTCTCCAGCCCACAAGCAATAACACCAGCATCCAATTTCATTCGCAGAGGTCGTAATGAGCGCAACATTTATTAACAAGGCACTGCCAATGCATTGGCATTTTGCATTGTGTTCGTAATTACCTCACAACGTTCAAACACCTTGGGTGCATCTAACAGATTCAAATGCCCGTAAAGCTGACACTTGTCTTCTCAGATACGATGCACAAACACACACACACACAGCCACAGACATAGACACAGGAATAGAGACAGACCCATAGACCCGTCGTTGAAGCGGCGACGATGTTAATTGAGCGCAAAAGGAAATTTCTTGACCCTAGCAGATGTCGAGCAGGTATGCGGATGCGCCCCATACTCGTACATGTGTCATGTGTGGCTCTGTGAATCCTTTCTCCCAGATAGGAGTCGAGCTGATTACAAGAGCCTCACCATGACTTAAATGATAAATACTGGCGCCAGTTGTTGTGCGGCACGATCACTTAAAAGGAACACAAATGTAAATGTGATAGTTTAGACAAATTGATTACTAATTGGTTTGTCAAGTTTCTCTTGGCGCCAAGCGAAGAAAGGCGGCTAATTTTTGGTTTTAATTTAAAAAAAAACTATTGTTGCCCATTTTACAATATAAAACATGTTTAGTTTCGCTTAAGGTGGAAATTGAATATTCCGTAGGAACAATAAGTCAACAAATTAATAGCCTGAGTTTCTTTTAAAAATTAGCTTATTTTGACTTCTATTCACATGTGCTGTTGAAATAGCAAAAATTTTCGGATCATCTCTGAGTTTCAAATTGTGTTTTTCTGAAATCCTACTTCGTATAAAATAACAAGAAAGGAATGCTAAAGTCGAGCAGGCTCAACTCTTAAATACCCTGTACCACCCCACAAACAAATAATTAAATTAATTAATTAATTTCATTAAATTAATTAACAAAATTAATTTAATTAATTAACTAAATTAATTTAATTAATTAACTAAATTAAATATAAAATATTCCATGCATGCATACATACATTTACATTTACATCAGATTCGTGCCTTATGCGTGTTTGTGTACTTGTACATATGTATGTATGTGTGCATTGGGCCTGGTTATATGACTATAACTTTCTTTCCGATCATTCTATCATAATGAAACTTGGTATACGGATAAATAATTACTAACGTAATGTGACTTCTAAGAATTACGGGAGTTATAAAAAATCGGTAATAGGGGGGGGGCAGTGGGGGGGTGGATCAGAAAAAATGAACAAACTCGTCCTTTCTCGGTCTCAGGAGAATCTGTATACCAAGTTTGGTTATTCTAGCTCTTATACTTTCGGAGATCCTTGCGTTCATACAGACAGACAGACAGACGGACAGACAGACGGACAGACGGTCAGACGGACAGACGGACATGGCTATATCGACTCGGCTTGTCATGCTGATCAAGAATATATATACTTTGTGGGGTCTACCAAGCCTCCTTCTGTGTGTTCCATGTGCACTCGCACAAAACTAATATACCCTTGTACCCTTTGGGTACAGGGTATAAAAACATGATCACTTAAAAGGAACACAAATGTAAATGTGATAGTTTAGACAAATTGATTACTAATTGGTTTGTCAAGTTTATCTTGGCGCCAAGCGAAGAAAGGCGGCTAATTTTTGGTATTAAAATTACAAAAAAAAAAAACAAACTATTGTTGCCCATTTTACAAAATATACAACATTCTTAGTTTCGCTTAAGGTAGAAATTGAATATCACAGGGGAACAATAAGTCAACAAACTAATAGCCTGAGATTGTTTTAAAAATTTGCTCATTAAACTTCTATTCTATTCACATGTGTTGTCGAAAGCAAAAGTTTCCGGAACATCTATGAGCTTCACATTGTGTTTTTCCGAAAGCATACATCGTATAAAATGCAAACATGATAAACACAAAAATTATATGTGTTAGTTTAGACAAATTGATTACTAATTTATTTGTCAAGTTTCTCTTGGCGCCAAGCGAAGAAAGAAGGTTAGTTTTTAGTATTAATTTAAAAAAAAACTATTATTGCCCATTTTACAATATAAAACATTTTTAGCTTCGCTTAAGGTGGAAATTAAATATCACATAGGAACAATAACTCAATAAATTAACAGCCTGAGATTGTTTTAAAAATTTGAAAATTGCTTAAATCACCATTTATGCAATAAATTAAAAGCGAAATTATCAATAATTTGGCTTTCAATGTTCAACAAAAGGGAATCGTTATCCCTTAAACTTCTTCGATGTTTTAGAGCCTTTTGGAACTATAAAGAAAGCTTCTTTTTTTTCAATTATAGCTCCAACGAACTAAGAACTAATCTAATTTTGTCTCATTTTATATTAGAACACAATTTCGACTTATTTTGCTTTTGATCATATCTAATCCCTATTCTATCTCAACCAATGATACAACCACATCATGCATTATAATCTTGATTATATTTTTTAAATTGTTTAATTTTTTATGTTGTCCTTTCGAGACTTACAATAAGTTTTCAAATGTGATATAAAATACCTAAGAATCAATTCCCAGTTGGAGGAACACGTTTGATTAGATACATTGTATTAAGTCTTTTCTGCTCAGTCTGAAGTGCGTAGTTTCCGGAGTGAGTTAGATAAGTAGCTTTAAGTGATCATTTAGTTGCTCAGAATATTTGGTTGCATCAGGGCTCTAAGTAATGTTTTTACTGATGTAATGTTAATCATTTTAGATAACCTCGCTGTCAAGCGTGGGGGAGTAATTAGTCCTAGTTATTATAATTGAGTATTTTAGACTGAGATCGGTAAATCTTTATAAACAAAAACTTGTTTCATACAAAAGCTCTTTCTTTTCTTTAGATCTGTCCTAAAAGGACAATTAATAAATTGGTTTATGTTCCATAAGTAGGGTGATCTTGCAAGATACAAGATTAAATAAAGTTTAAAGTCTAGTTGGACCCGCGGGTAGAGCGGGTGAAATCTTTTGAGACGTCTGTGATGCTCGCTGTTACCGACGGAGAAACGATTTAATTGTTGTTAGAGAATCTTATAAAGTTAAATGCATAACATACTTACTTGAATTAGCACATCATTACTCAAAAGTGACTTCAATCATTATAATTGATTTCAATAAACATTACAATAAAATATATATATATATATATTTTTTTTTTGTTAATGATTAATCGATTTTAAAGATTAGTGAATGAAACATCGCGACATCCTACATCGCAATAATGATTATAATTGAAATACGTCGTCTTCATTTTGTCATTATACAAACTACTTACGATTAACAATAGTCCCTTACAGTTGCATTACGAGATTCTTTATTCATACTCAAGGCTGAAGAACATATATAAAAACTAAGTAGGGTGAAGCACGCATCCTTTTGGGTGATAAATACATTCGCACTACTAGGTGTGGTGAAAAATAACCTCCTTGGGCATTTACTAGTACACTAGTATACCCACATGATGTAACAGGTATATCCACTTACGGTTTGGGAGAAGTTGTATTGATCTGCATTTTTCTCAATAAACACTTTTGTTATGGAAAGTCAGTTTTAACTTTTAAATAGTAGCAAAGAACTACTTCCAAACTATTTTGGAATTGTGGACCCTACATTAATATTATAGTTACTATGATGGTCGAATGTTCGATTGGCTTTTCTATTATGAATCCAGACTGTAACCATAACTTAATAGACTTTGTTCTCTCGACACAGAATTTTTTCGCCACTAAGTATCTTACCTTGTCGAGAAGCTTCTATATTGATGCAATGAGTAAGAAACTCATTATTAAATGAGTCATGGATTCAATAAAATCTGGCTAGATCAACTTTCGATTCTGTAAAATAAAATATGTATACTATATACTTCAGAAAGAAACATTCCCATCCTGCCTGCAAAATATTCTAATTGTTTCGCATAAATCTGATACACCCTTTAACCCTTCGGGAAACAAACGTTTTTACTAAAGTGTTGATTAAAACTTTATTGAATTTAATTACAATTTTACAGAAACTGGAAAGTCCTCTTGTACAATATATAAATAGAACTATATAATGCATACATATGTGTATACGTGTATACAATATATAGCGGTTCATATAATACGTGTATGAATGTTACCTTTTAAGTTCTGACTCAACTATATATTTATATAAGTACATAATTTATATTGGATATTTGTTGTAAGACGTAATATATGTATGTATTTCAAAAGGTTATATTATAAGTAGAGTTAACAGAGTTCTTCTCCGCTCGTTGTTATTAATACATTGTTGTATGTATGTACTTGTATGTGTGTATGTATGTTAGAGCATTTGGCTCTGGTAAAATAACAAGTTTGGCTTCTCAATTAAATTAGTATGTATTTGAAATAAGTACTTTTAGGACATTCTAGACTTGTACATGGTGAGGGGGGAATCAAACGTTTCTTTCTTAGCGAGGGGCACAATCTTAATAGTTTCTGGAAAGGGTGAGCCCCAATTACAATCTAACGGATATGCACAGTTTAGACTAAAAGTATGTGGTAGTACCAAATGTGTTTAAAATTACTTTAATATAAGTACATAACATACAGCGTTTTGCATTAGCTACAATAAATTTAAGATATCTTTATTTGGTGTAATTTTTTAAATCAACAATTGGTGTTGTTCACGATCATTTGTTTAGTCGCATTCACGTTAAAATAGTTTATCAAATTTCCAAGAAATTAGCAAGGGTTGCCTTTTTAGTAGAAATATATATATATATGTATGTATATATTTATTACACATTTCATTCAATATGTATGTATGTGTGTATATAGTTAGGCATAGTTTGTTAGTTTAGTTAAGTTGTTAAATATATTTGAGTTTTAGTGCCAATTGGCTTAAGGTACTTTAAGTTTTTTATTTGCTTTTCTGATTTTCTGCTAGACTTTGAAGTTATAACCCACACACTTTTCAATCAGCACTCTGTTACGCCCTCTTCAAAAATTGTTCAAATGTGTCCAAGTGTGTGTGTGTGTGTGTGTGTATGTTTGTGTTTATATGTGTATGTGTGTGTGTGTGTGTGTGTGTGTGTGTATGCGGGTAGCAATTCACTAATTATGTATGCTTGTGTTACGGTGTATGTGCAAATATTGCAAATATAAGTATTAACACCCTGACTAACGCTTCTAACGAGTAACAAAACAGCGTCACATTTTCGCCCTTCGTTTTAAAATTGATTGCAATTTGTTAAGTCATTAAGTAGTGAAATATTATTAGTCTTCTTTTTATAATTAGTTTAGAGTTGGAGTAATAGCAAAAAAATGCAATTGAAGTTCTTGATTAGTGCAAATTAGAATTAGTTTATAGTTTAATAGTTAACAATTAAATATTTGTGAACAACTGCGTATTGTTGCAACTTGTTTTCAGAATACTTTTTACTTATCTTTTGGTTCGACTTATTTGTTTGTGATAATCCACAGGATAATTGGTAACACACACAGCCCATTGCAACGAGTTATTTCCAAATGATTAATTCCCAAAACATGCGAGCTATTGTAACTTCAACTTCAATATATATTCAATTTGGAGTACACTGGATTTTAAAACTGGGCATCTATTTTATAAGTATACATATTATCGTATGTACTTTGTGTTATCCATGTAAAAAGTTTGTGTTCGATATTTATTTTATTTCATATATACTTGTAAATGACAAGAGTTATTCGTTTCATTGTCTGAGGCGTGCTGGAGGTATGTCTATATAAGTTGTATGTATGTACATATGTATGCCAAGGATCGAAGCTTATATAAAGCAACGCACATTCTACTTGTAAGTACTTGGTGGCCTCGAAAAAAGAAACAAAACAAAATCAACAAATAGTTAATTAAACTAAACACTTTACTCATTAGTAGTATTATGTAGGTAATACATTTGAAAATCACAAGAACGTTTGAGAATTGACAAGTTCAGCATGCGCAGAGGACCACGTTGTTGCTTCATATATAGCCGTGAATCCTTTGGGTACATCCACATTTAAAAATTGCTAAGTTTGTTTGTTTGTATATACGCCAGTTGTCTGCTTCTCTAATCAAACTTCAACACTGCATTAAAATTTTGCTCACTATTCGTTATGGTTTCTCCATTTATATTACTGGCATTCATGCATGTATATTTATTTGTTGTTGTTTAGTTTATATTATGAAAGCTAACAATGTGGACGGACAAAAATAATTTACAAAAATTCATTTATTGTTACATTTAGTTAAGAATTCATTTCTGTTTTAGCTTTGTTTCATTTTTTTAGTTTTTTTGGTTTTTGTTTTGTTGTTAGCGATTTATTACAAGTGTTTGGTGTTTAAATAATCAAATCAACATTCATTTCCCACCTTAGAATGATCATTATCAATCGTTAGTAGTTAGATACACATAGTTCGATTAGATAGATTTGCATGCATTAACATGGCGATCATATTTGTGTCTGATTTGTTTTCTTTTTACAATTAGCTAGGCTTACACACTATAAAGTCACAATAATTTTAAAACTTAGCACACGTGTATAGCTTTAAGTACAGGCGCGTGTAAAACAATGCAGAGGTATAAAAAATTAACAATATGCTAAAAAGAAATTTTCTCATCTTCATAAATCCTCCGCTTGCTGCTGCTGCTGCTCCTTCTGCACACCAAACAATATGCATTGTTTTGATTTTAGAAATCAACGACAACATTTGACTTAATTGAGAGGATCAGAGCATAGCGCAGCTACTACAGTTTTGTAATACCAACTAGCAAAGAATCAAATTTCAAAAATACATAGGTTTTAGTTTTTTTTAGAGGATGTTTTGGAAACAGGCTTATTTGGTAGAGCTGACTTGAAATGTTGCTCGGTAATACATAAAAATAGACTAGCATATGGTTTGTTATTTTCAAGTAGAATTATATCTATATACAAGTGTAACTATATAGTTAGATATACACGTACGTACAGGCGTTATATTGGTTTCAATTTGTTATGTATATGTATATAGTATGTATGTATTTATGTGTATAATAATATAATCATAGACTAAAGTTTCCCACTACGCTTGGAGTTAAAAAGTTTTCAAAGGCTTCGTTTATAAGTTCTTTTGAGTTGACAAATGGAAAAGTTCTTTTCTTTTAAAGAGGTTTCGATTTGGTTCATTCACTAAACCACTAACCTAACATACGCTACGTTTAAAAAGTTTCGATTTTCGATTTGCAAAGCAATTTCCCTTTCGAAATAATACGCATTAAAATTCGTTATGCAAATGAGTAGACGTGCCAGATTTGCTACTTAGTTGGAAAATTGTAAAGTAGATAACACTACAAAGTGCAGCACTTAGCTAGGTTCGGTGTCTTAGTAAACAATTATGAAAGTAGAAAGTTTCACTCAATAGTTAAAGCTATTAATAAATTCTTAATGAACATAGATTCGTTCGCATTTCGTATTCAAAAGTTCGCTCCGTTGCAAGCTATGTAAATGGATGCGCTGTATTCGTCGTTCTCGAATATCGTTAAATTACATTTGGTGTAGATTGTTGCTGTTATTTGGAGTAGATTTTCTGCAAGATAATTAAGCGATATGTTATGTCTTCGTGAAGCCCTTAACAAATGCAATATAATCTAGCTACCAATTATCGCTGGGGCAGATTAACATTTCCTGCTGCCCTTGATCTTGATACTGCAAGTTTCGAAGGTATTCCGCCCTGCGTTGGTGCACCAGCTTCTCTTTTTCGGCTCGTTCTCTCTGAAGTCTGTGATAAAGAATGCATATAAGTACAGTCAACGAGTTCAATGATTTCACAATCACAATAATAAACCGATAATAGAATAATAATAAAATAATGCTGAGCTCAAATCTCAACCTGTTCCGACGTCCTCTATCTTACCAAAGTAGTAAAGTTCTCATCCCAAATGCTGGCGTGCAATTAAATTTTGTTTGTTTATACCCGTCTACTAATTCACAGAATACTTGTATAAGTTTTAAAACTAATACTTACTTAATGCGTGATTGTCTCATAAATTGTTGTATTTTTCTGGCAGCTTGATTCTGTGTTGATTGTGAGTAAGTTCGCCTGAAAAAACTCAAACACATAAGTACAGATACTTGCAGGAATTTCGACAAGAAGAATAACTCACTTCAGGGGGCCCGACGGACTGGTCTCCTTGGGGGTGCTGGGCTGCGAGCTCAGCTCCTGCTGCTGCTGCTGATCCTGCTTGTAGTGATCGTAGAAGCTCGACAAACACTGGGAGTTGCTGCTGACGCTGCCGTGCTCGCTCCCATGGCCCAAGCCATCCACGCCACCCGACGGGTGCTGCGACTTCTTGAAGCGCTTGTTGCGCCGGTACGAGCGATAGCCATGCTGTATGACCAGAGCCGCATTCGTCATTTGCCTGTAGTAGGCGTACTGTTTGTACCGCCGATAGTAGTTCTGTATGACCACGGCTGCTGTGCGCTCCTTGTTCTGCTCCTCGAGCTTCTGCCGCCCCTTGTAAGAGCGATAGGCCTTCTGAATGCACTTGGCGGCTTCGTACAGCTCTCGCTGCTCCGTGTCTGTGAGCGTTAGCTTGGAGAAGTCCGCCTCAAAGGGATACTGCGCAATGCTGGAGGCGTGCAGGAACTCTGTCAACTGCTTCGTTGAGGGCGGCGGACTGGGCGAGCTCACTGAAGGATCGGTGCCCAGTATCGAATAGCTGGCCGGCGACTGTAATGGCCCCGAGCTGGCGGGGCTGAGACTGGAGCAAGGTGTGCTCACGTCATGATAGCGATAGCTGTGATCGTGAAAGTCAAAACTGAAGTCGCCCTCGAAATGTGTGTTGGGCAAGGAGTCGAGCAGTGGATCCATAAAGCTATCCGTTAGTGCCGAGGACTCTGAGGTGAGCGGCTCCGTCAGTGGACTGCCCAGCACCATCATCTCGTCGGCTTCATTCTGTGGATAGCAAGATTGTAAGTTGGGCGTAAGCTGAAGATCTCGTTACTTACCTTGATGCGCTCGGGCATGGCCGCTATGATGTGCTCTGCCAGTGTCAGGACCTTGGCATCTGAGTCCCCTAGAAGTATGTGACACAATTGAAATAGTTTCAAAAACTGTTCCACTGGAACACTCTCTTATGCACGACACACACATATCAAACAACAATTCTACGCAATGTATTAGGTAGTACTGGTGGTGGTGGTTGTGGTGGTGGTTGTGGTTGTAGTGGTGGTTGTGGTGTTAGTTTTTAGCTATACATGGACAAGCAGCTTGGCCGCGTTATAGTAGTGTGTGTAGGAAGTACAGGCCAGATACACTGACATACAAGTAGTAAGTAGTTAGTTTCATATTTACAATAAGCCTTATTTACAAACGCACTTGCCACGTCCAGGTGTACGAGTATGTTCTAAACTGTTATGTTATGTTATGTGGACACCGATAAACGCACATTTAATATTAGTTAGCTAGTTCTAATTATGAGTACATACACATATAGCTATGGGCATACATTTATTTTGGAAGTATTATAGTATACTTGTATTTACACCAGTTCAAACACTCCAACCAGTAATTTACATCAAAACGAACATGTACATAGACTATGATTAGTATTATTATTATTATTATACATAAACTATTACATAGAGCTCTTTAAAAGCAGAAACACAGAGATAATCGCACACACACACACCAATGTTATATGCATTTGTGTTTCTAGGCAGGAGTGTTAGTTTGTATGTATGTTAGTCAGCATGGCATGTATGTGTATGTCGGTATGTCGTTATGTATGTAAGTTTGTATGAAGTAACAACAAAATGATTAACAGGAACAACAACAACGAGAATGACAGCCATAATATGCATTAAGTTTAACGGCCACTATTACGAGAGATTGTGAGTATATAACACGGGTAGCATAGCTCTTAATATTCTTATTAATTTTGAATTTAAAATTTCTTTGTACGCCTCTGCGTGTCACTGACCTACAATGGCATCGTTCAGATCATTATTAATGGTCGCGTCGGTAACGCTCGTGGAATTGTCATCGCAATCGATATCTTTTTCATGTAGGGGACTCGATTCTCCCGTGGATACCTCGCCTGGTGCGAAAATGTGTGAATTTTTTCAATGGTAGTGACAAATTTTGACAAATAAAGGGCAAAGAGGTTAGCTCATGCAAACAAAGCCATTTACTTACACAGAGCAAAGTCCATTTTGCGAAGAGGCGAGAGCAACGAGTTGGTGGTCAGGGAGTCCAGTGGCGAGTCAACGCCCAGTGCGTAATCAAACGACTCGAAATTGCTGCTGAAAGGCATAGAAAATTGGATGACAATAGGTGGAAGACCTCAAAAAGTTTAGCTCGTACCTGTGCAATCTGCTTAACGGCTTGCCCGACTTGCCTCGAATATCCATGTTAATGCCGCTGTCAACCGACGAGCGTTTGGCATAGCGCGAGTTGTTAGGTGGACTTTGGTTGCTACAAAATAAAGATGAATGTAAATGTTAATTGAACCCTTATTTCGGAGACTTTCTTATTTCCTCAAAAGGGTTAAACGGTAATTGTAAGAAAGAAAGAAATTTTAATGGTAAAAGGTAGATAAAATCACAATTTAAGCAAGAGATTTGCATACCCTCTAACCTAAACCAAATTTAGTTTCCCCAGCTTCTATCGTCTAAAAGATATTAGCGTTCATACAGACGGACATTCTTTACTTCTTATTATACCCTAAGGGTTCAAGATAAGTATAAACTCTCAAGGTTTAAAGCTAGTAAGTACGCTTATGAGAGAAGAAAAAACTTGAGTTTGCGGCAGGAGTCTTTAAACCACTTCCACTTACCTATGGACTGCGACAGGTCGCAGAAATACTCCATCGTGCTTGCGCTGCAGCTCCAATTCGTATGCATTGTAGGTTTGGTCCTCAGCGTCTGCCTCCGAGCCATGAAGCGAGCGGGCCATGCTCATTGATAGATTGGCCAGAGTGCCGCGCATTTGCGGTTTGCGGCAACGCTCCTTCTCCAGCCGATAAATCTGTGCCAGAATCTGCTTGTGACCCTTCAGGTGGGCCAGATCCAACGGAGATTGCTGGGCATGCGTCTTGATCTTCAGCGCATTATGATTCCATTTGTACAATATGAGAGCGCACTCAGTGTGGCCGCGCACACAGGCCCAGGCCAACGGCGTGTATCCATGTATATCCTGGCTCAGCGCGTCTAGCTCTGTTTCGAGTATGATATGTGGGTTCTCCGCGCGCCAATTCAACAAAGCACACACCACCTTTGAGTAGCCCAATGCGGCGGCCAAGTGTAGTAATGTAAGTCCACGGAAGCCCGCGCTCCAATTGCCGCTACTTTGGGCAGACCATGCGTTCTTAGTGAGCTTCTGGCAATAGCCAACCAATTTCTCCTCAAATTTAGGCTCCAAATAGAGAGCCGTGTGGTCAGACTGGAAATGACGGAAAACACAACATATTATCTCACGAGTTTGTTCTCCTGCTACCATTTGTGAAATTGCTGATCAACGTTCATTATTCTTGTATTACAATATTCGATTGAGCTTCTTAGAATTGCAAAAAGCATTCGGAATAGTTTCCAAAATTTAAACCTTAATAGAACAAGCCGTGAAAATATGTTTATAATTCCTTTAAAGTATATGTTTATCTACAATACACATAATCTATGTATATCTCCAGATCATGAGTAAAAATCATGAGTAATAGTACGAAGTTCGAGAGGCTCTTCAAAATAAAATAAAAATACCTTTACAAAACTTGAAAGCTGGAAACAAAAGATTCCCTCTATTTGTAATGAGTGTTACCTTTATTTCTGAGTCTACTACAAAGACTTTTGTTTTTACTGATTGCTGGTAAATATTAAAACATTAAAATAAGTCCTTGAATGTTGTCGCAATTTTTGATGCGAAAATATGTAACCGATTGTACAGAAAATATAATTATGGTGTGATATTGGTTCAGAGGAAAAGAAATTAAATTCTCTTACCTACACGGCACAAAACACTTCATAAATAAAAAGCTTATATTAAAAAATAATATATAATCGGGTTACAGTTCAGATACTACAGTTCTTATTAATTGTTCACTCACCGTCAAATCCTGCTCAGCTTTGAGCAGCAATTTTTCCTCAATGGCCGACAAGCGATTGAGCAGAGTAAACTTGTAGAGACAATCATTGGAGCTGCTCGCATCGAAAGGCGCGTCCGCGAGCAACGACATCTTGTACTCGAACATAACGGAGTTGGATACTAGGAAGCCATCACAGGCGACCTGAAGCGTTACGAATCCCGGCTCATGTGCCGGACAGTAGCAGCGCAGCACGCCCTCCTGCACCAACACAGTGGGCACAGGTTCCGCATCGAAGAGAACCGTGTACGTGGCATTACTTGTCCAGGGACCAGCCACAAGCACCTTGACGCCACCCTCGGTGTAGGACCATTCCGGACTGAAGTCACAGATGTTCAGTAATTTTCGATCGCACTGTGGCACACCAGGCATCGTCGTCTGGGCAGCCACCTCCTCCAGATAGGCTCCGGAGTGCAGTCCATGTCCGTGTCCATGCTCGTGAGCTGTGTTGCTCAAGGCCTGCTTATCATCCAGATCCAGTTCGGGAAACTCCACTAGCATATCAAAAGCATCCAAATTGGCAAAGACATCTTCCGCGTCTTCGTCGTCCCCCTCGGTGTCGTGGCACGGTGTACTGCGCTTTTGTTGCTCCGCATTGTTAAGCGACTCCACACAATTGTTGGCAATGATGGTTGTGTCGTTGTTGCTGCTGTTGTTGTTGTTGTTGTTATACGGCATATTGGCAATGAGCGTGCGCTGCAAATCTTCATGGGACAAGTCCAGGGTTTCATTGAAAAAGCTCAAGGTTTCGTTGCTGGCACTTGCCGGCTGCTCCAACTCCTCATTGCTGTTGCCAACACTGTTGCTGATGTTGCTGCTGTTGCTGGTACTCTGATTGTTGACGGTTGAACTAAGCTCCATAGGACCAAAGCTGCTCTCGTCGCTAGCGCTGATTTGGCTGCTATTATCGCTGGAAGCACTGAAGTTTGCACAACCATTTTGGGATTTGTGGCAGTCTGCGACCTGATTGTTGTTGTTGTTGTAGCCGTCTCCTCCAGTCACGCGTTTTTGCGGTTCATTGCCGTTCACTTCCAACTGTAGCAAGTCAGACAAACAAAATATAATCAACATAAATATATAGAGTTATGAAGAAGCACACAGACGAATAAAACTGACGCTTACCTCTCCGCTCATTAAATTATCACAATTTGTTGTTGTTGTTGTTGCTGCTGCTGCTGTCGCCGCTGACGTCGTTGCTGCTGTTGCTGGTGTTGCTGTCGTTGTAATTTGTTGCTGTTGATTGCCATCAATAATCGACTGTAAGGAACTTGAGGTGGAGCATGTGGCCGAACTGGAAGGAGTGTTGCCAGCGGAAGACAAAACTGCATGCAGGGGTTGGTTGCGCGCGCTGTGATGCTCAGGTGACATGCACATCGCCTCAACAGGCGCATGTCCTGCAGGTGTGAGTCCAGTAGTCGTGCCATGCGTTGTCTCCTGCAATTTATAATAATGTTGTTGCTGCTGCTGCTGCTGCTGCTGGTGATTGTTTGTGTTGTTGTTGTTGTTGTTGCTGTTGGTGTTGGAAGCATTTATTTGTTGCTGTTGATTGTTATAGATGAAGTTGTTGTTGCTGGCGTTATTGCTGTTGTTGGTGTTGTTGTTGCTGTTGCTGTTGACCCCAGAACCATTACTATTTACGACATTTAATTCGTTGTTTGTTGAGGCTGCTGCCCCCTGACTCTTTGCTGTTGCCCCCGCTTCTAATTGCTTGCCACTGCTACTGTTGCTGCTACTGCTGCTACAGTTATTTGTGCTGTGGCTGCTGATTTTATTGGAATTTACATTTGTGGTCATGTGAGTTTGGTTTTCAATTATCTCTGTCTCCATGACACTTGAGGAAGCAGCAGCTGAAGCAGCAGCTGCTGCTGCCACTGCTGCCGCCTCCCTCGTCGTTGCTGTGATTGTTGTATTAGCAATCTGCAGGCGATGATTTAAATGTGTTGGATTACTATTATTATGACTGTGACTTTGATTGCTCTGATTGTGACTTGCCACAAAGCGTTGTAAGTTTAGTTGATGCTGCTGCGTTTGTTGTTGCTGTTGCTGATAATTTGAGTGGTTTTGCTGTTGTTGTTGTTGTTGCTGTTGCTGCTGCTGTTGTTGCTGCTGTTGCTGCTGTATTATCAAATTGCTTCTTGTGGCTACCATTTGAGTAGACGAACCACGATATTGCTGCTGATAATTACCATCGCTATGAGAACTCTGTTGTTGTTGTTGTTGCTGCTGGTGTTGCGGCGGAATGATTTGAAATTTAATGGCCGACTCCTGCGGCAATTGTTGTGTGGCATTGTGGAACTGGGCGTGTGGATTGTCCAGATGCATGGCATCGCGCTGTCGATGGCGCTCCGACCAGCGCGAGTAGAGCTGTAAGTTCAGATACATCGAGGGCAAATGTTACTTAAGCCAAAAAGTATCCTTGAACAATATTTTTCATTATATTAAAAAAAAAAAAAAGGAAAGAAAACATGATCCTAAATGGGGTACAAATTGTTTTCTGAAGACCTGCTTTGGATGGGAAATTATATATTTAGACAAAAAGTATCCTAAGAGCCCTATGGCTATTTCAATTTAAATTCCTATTGACGTATTTTCATACCAAAACGATTACCCAAAACTAATCGGATATGCAAATATAATAAAAATTTATCTGTGCAATATACAAATTGTGGAACTTAATATGTGTATGTATTTCTTATAGTCCGATAGTAGTTATAAGAAGAAAAGAGTACACACATGGTATCTAGGGCAAGTATATAGAAAATTCTTGCCATTGCCATTTTAAAGATTTTTCTAATTTCGAACAATTGCTTCTGTAGGTTTCTAATGAGACTAATTTGAATGCCAGATTATATTAATTCTGGAAACTGCTTATAATTCAACTTAATTTGAACAGATCGGCTTCAGGATCGACAAATATTTTATTGCAAACATTTAACTTAATAAAGTCAAAAAATCATTAATCCATCAACTTATGTACATATGTTTCTCTTATAAACCTTTTTGTAAAGATCTCTTCTCAATTAATGCATTTACCGGCATTAATTTCCTAATAGTTCGAATACGAAGTTATCTTTACCTTTTTATTACCTTTTTTAAAAATCTCTTTCCTAATAGTTCGAATTCTACTATGAACTTAAAACTTGTATGTAGTAATTATTTGTATGTACTCTAGTAGTTTTCACGATATTTTTAGAGTTTTAGAGCGACTTACCTTGGTGGCTACCACAACATTCGGGGTACCATTGACGCCATTGTGAGAATTGAAGCCCTCGCTCAGTCGCTTCTCCGAGACGGACTTCAGAATACCCGTGCGTCGCATTACCGGATGCGTGCAGGTCTTTCCATCGGCGCAACCCGCATCTCCGCAGCCGCAGTCCAACTGTTTGACTAGGGCTGCCTGTCGGGAAAGCCGCTGCTTCTCCATCAGCTGGCACACAATGGACTCCACCGTTTCGGCCGTCTGTAATGAGGTCGGAGGAGTTGGATGATCGATCGCATTGGCTGTGAGCAGAAAATACTAACCGATATTTCGATGTCGTTTCCTGAATCGGAGTCGTCATCTGAGTTCACGGTGGATACTGGCCAAAATTGAAGTATAGAAATAATTGAGGCTTATTTTTTGTGAAGAGTGCAATGCTTACACATGGGCTTCAACTGGCTGACGAGCTCCTCCTTTGTCCACTCCTTCTTATCGCCCCAGAGCGTGATGCTGGGCGCAATTACGGACATCTTGTTGTCGTCCGGATAGGGGACATTTAGGTAGTGCACCAAAACAATGTCCGGATTCTGCACAGGTGTGTGTGTGTGTGTGTGTAGATGTGCTTGTAAATAATAGAGTACATAAATCTGGCTCTCTATATACATACCTGTAACAACCAGTAACATCTGCGATGAAATGTCGGCAATATGGCCGAGTGTACATAACAACCGTAGATGCACTGTGAAGGAAATTCAATTTATCAGAATGGGCGCACGTAGCGAAAACGAAAACAAAAACAAATACATAAAAAATATCTATGTTGGTCATATACGCAGCGCCCCCTATCCGACCCATCTATTTAATTGGAAAGCATAAAAAGTCAGTGCTTAAATTAAATTACAAGCCACCCACGCTAGGGGGCGCCAGAAGTCGTGACGCCAAGACGAATGCTGATGAGGACAGAGGCCAGGGGAAAAAAAAATCAAACCTACAAACGACTCGGAGGCAAGTGCCAAGAATCGAACCCTTTTTGTGCCTTCCCGCCGCTGATGTTGTTGTCGTTTTTGGCTTCGACTGAGTTATACAACAAAACTTGGTGCGATAAATATTTGGCGCACTTGCCGGCGTCCGATATGCCGCTGATATTTTTTTTCCTTTCCTTTGGCGTTACATCGAACAATGTTTATATTAGTTATCGCGCACGATGGCACCGGATGGGGAGGGGGCGGGGCGGGGAAGCGGATGCGCCCCGTTGCGTTTACTCGCCGTCTTTGTGTCTGCGATTGCATAAATCTCACTAGCTACTTGTTTTTGTATTAAAATAAAAATTAAAACAAAAACAGAATTGCCCCAAGATATCAAAAAGAGTGTACGAGTATGTAGTAAGAGGAATTGGCGTGAAATTGCCAACAGTTTTTCCCGTAATGGCAACAAGGGCCTGCAAGCAGACACAGAGACGAACAGACAGATGGACAGACAGACAGACAGAGAGAGAGATAGACAGACGAATGGCCACACTCCAGACTTTATAAATACGCTTAACCCTTGGCAAGGCTGATTTCATTAGCAGGCGGCATGGCACATATCCTTAAACAAACAAACAAGCGAAAAAAGTACAAGTTTCTGTATATTTCCGGCGGGAAATCATAATTCACTACAACAGGGTTTGGCAAAACGAAAAAAATCTGTGAATGTGAAAAGAAAAGAAAAAGAGGAAAAAGGCAAATAAAACACTTAACAGTACCCGGAGCGCGCCACATGCGCCATAAGAAGGCAACACAACTTGAGCTTTAATTTCCGTGTCCTTTTTGCGCTAAGTCCTTGACAAATGACACCGACCGACGCGCCTGCCTAATTGCCTAATTGCGCGGCAGGCGACAACTGACCGGCCCAGTCGGACCGCCTTACTCTCTAGCTTCCAGCCACTCACCTCAGTGCCTTGTACTTTCAGTTTCATGTGATCCTCGCGCGTTGTCTTCCCATCCTTGCGCTTCTTCCAGCAATAGCCATCACGTCGGTATCGCACCTTCTTACGCGAATAGAGTAGCAAGGAACCGCTCTTCGGCCTGCATCAGATAAAACGCTTTATAGTTTGGACTCGCCTTCTAAGAGGTCGGGCCGATTATGACTCACCTTGTTTTGACTTCTTTTGATTGCCATTCGCTATGTTTGTCAAAGCTGATAAGAATCGCAGCAATTTCCTGGAAATGTTAAACATATTAATATTTACTTAAATAGCAGTAGCCAACACAACTAAAGGGCTTCGGTAAAAAGCGAATAAGCTCTTTCAATAAACACCATTTCAAAATACAATTTATTATCTTTCGAATAACATCTATCAATAAACATTTTTTTAAATGTAATTATAAATAAAGTCTAAACAGTCAATACAGGTTAATATTCGCAGTAGACAACAAGACTAAAGGGCTTCGGTAAGAAGCGAATAAGGTCTGTTCATAAACACCATTTCAATATAGAATATATAAATAAAGTCTTTCAAATAACATCTTTCAATAAACATTTTTTAAAATACAATTTATAAATAAACTCTAAATAGTCTAGACAGGTTAATATTTACTTAAATAGCAGTAGACAACACGACTAAAGGGCCTCGGTCAGAAGGTCTTTCAATAAACACCATTTCAAATTAAATAAAGCCTTTCAAAAAAGTCTTTCAATAAACATTATTTCCAAATACAATTTAAGAGTCTCAGTAGTGATTGTCAATTTTATAATTGTCCCGTATTTTAAATCTAGACATTATGAATGATCATAGAGCAAAATTAATTGAATTAATCAATTTTATTCATGTATGTCAACAAGTGTGGCGAATCAGTTAATAGATAAGACGTTCCTATAACCTTGTTTTCTTGATTCAGTTAATTTTCTGTTTATTTATTGCCCGTCAATCTATTTTAATCTCTTTAATGCCCGCGCTACTCATACATGTTCGTATGTATTTGTTATAGTATATGTATGTATATTGTGCATAGCCACTCGGGCAATATTTGTTCTGTAACTCACGTGTTTTTCCCACTACTTTCTACGCCTTACTAGATTTAACCTTGTTTTGATAAGAGTTTGTTTGTTTAACTTATTTGTGAGTTTGCAACAGAGTAAAATTTTCCTATGCTGCCCACAAATTGTGCTCGCTAACCAAATTAACTAACGTGCTAACAATTTCCGGCCAAAATAAAAAACCCGCTCGTGTTAAACACTCTCGGCATTTCCTCTGCAAAACCAACAGGACTACGGAAGCTCGACTGCGTGGAGAAAAAAACCGGCACATAAAACAAAGGAAAGCATTTCAGAAATTTCATTTGACCGCACCGGTGGCCAGCAGGCAGGATACGAGCATAAGCCACTGGACACAGCACACCGCATATATGATACGTTATATGTGGAGAAGTGTGTATGTGGTCGGAGACCACAATTTACACGTGTCGCCGCTTGACACCTGGCCGGGTCTTTGTGCAATTTGTGTGCATATTTGAACTGCTCGCCGACTACTAAAGGACACAAGGCAGTTACACAATTAGAAGATGGGTACTGCATCATCTTAGAGCTACTTAAGTAGCTTCAAGTGGCAATAACAACAATTCAGATGCAAATCACACACAGAGACGCACACACATCAGAGAGCAGCAGCGAAAGTGTGTGGCGGGCGGACTCGGATGTCGAATGCTCAAATGCTCGAATACTGTCTATGCTGACAGCCATTTGGCTCTTCATGGCATGTATTGCCGATAAAGTTATCAATTTGTTTTGCCAGCCTTGACGTCACATGAATAATGTAAGTGGCCGGCACAAGCGCCGCTATCCTTGCTATTCATCTATGTATGTAGTTCTATCTACTGCGAGTATACGAGCATGCGAGTATGTATGTGCAGTCAACAACTGAGGCAAAATGTACACTAAGCGCAAAAAGTTGCTCAACTTCTCATTCTAATGTACTGAAAAGCAGAAATATTTTTGTCATGATTAAATTGTAATATTGGGCAAATAATAGTCATCTAGCTTACCGGAGATTTCCCTCTTTCTTCTTTCGTCTTTCAAATTGTCTCTCCAACTTTCTCTTTCCCTCTTTCTTTTTTTCTTTTCCTCTTTCTCTTTCTGCTCCTTAGTTTTTCTAATTAGTTCTTAAGTAGAATTAATTTTCCTCCTCTACTTACTATTTGTTTAGTTTGTTAGGTCTATAATGTCCCTGACCACATATGGCTGTGAATCGGCCATAGCAGGCCAACTGGCAAATAAAATTCCCGCAACAGCTTTTTCTTAGGCTTTCTTATCTTTTATGTTTAAATTATAATGGTATATTAAATCATCTCTTCATTTAAATTAATTTTTAGCTCATCGTAAATGAAATAATTAATCGTCAAGTTTATTTAACAAATTTAATGATTGTTCACGATGAACAGGATTAAATAAAAACACTCTGCTAATACAAAAAAAATTAAATTTTTATATTATAATATATGTATATAAAATGTAAATATATATTATGTAATAATTATCACACTTGTTGACAATTATAAGAATTTTTGGTTATCACATAGAAAATGTTTAGTTCTTAGACGACTACATATGTATTTGTTGAAACCACAATTCCAAAAACTAAAAATATTTGTTGAAAATAAATATTAACAATTTTAATTATTTGAAGAAGACATTTGAATTAACATATTTCCAACTGATCATGAAAGTTATTTATTTAAAATTCCTTTCAATAAAAAAGGTGAAATTAAAAAAAAAAAAAAATATATATATATATATTTTTTTTTGGCAACATTCTAGTTAAAGTTATCAATCTAATCAGTTATAAGCCCTATTTTAATTGGAAATGATGTCGTTATGTGTTAATTTTTTTTTTGTTGAGTGTAGTCGCAGCTGCCGCTATCGCTGCTGGCTCTGCGCTGTCGCTGTCGCTGGCGCTACGATATGTGCAGCAAAGGAACATTTTCATATGCTAGATTTCGCAACATTTGCGAATGTCATAAAAATTGTATGCACACACACACACACTTATACGCACACACACATACACTCAAGTTCAGGATAAGTAAAGGGGCAACGCGTGTTTGTCAAGTGGCAAACGTTTGCATTTTGGCAAAATTGCCACTGGCATCGCCTTGAGGGGCAACTTGTGCGGCAGTGGCACTTTATTTATGTATAGTATGTCCGCTTGAGTAGCTCGAGCTGCCGCTGCTGCTGCTGTTTCTGTTCTTAGGCTCGCATCTTCTACTTTTTATTTTATGATGAATTCTAGACACATACGCGCAAGTTGCGAGAGAACGCGAGCGCATTAAAAATTTATGCGCACCTCAGCGTATTTCAGCCTCCATTCATTGGTGAAAGGGCGCGTGAGTCGCAGCTCTGATGGTCTCGGCGGGCACTCGGCACGGTTTTCAACACTTTCTATACATTTTCAATTGATCGGACATATGCGGCGTATGAGTTATTGGTGGAATTTGTCTTGATTTGTGCGTGTCACTTTGATGTGTGCCTATACAGATACACTTAGAAAATAAGTTGGTACAAATCGATATTAAGGCATAACTTATTTCTATCTGATCTATCAGATAGTGATGTATATCTTTATAAAACATTTTATTCTGAATGACTATTTGCTGATTAACGGCAAGTGCTAGGAAATTGGAACTTTAGTTTTCAGTGTAAGAAGCAAACTCCGAAGCGGAGGAAATGGGCTCCAAAAACGTTATAAAATATCGGTTATTTTTGTAACCAATCGACTTAAAAAACTTGGTTTTTCTAGTCTTCAAAAGAATACAAAATACTACACATATTGTTCTACTTGTATATACCATTTTACTGTTGACAGTAAGATCAAGTTTTCAATTTTAGATCATTGTATTTTAAATATTTAAGCTGAAGCTTGTAGACTTCTAATGCGTGTGCTTAAGGGATTCCATCCCCCGACTCAGCAATATACTTATACTTTAGTATCGCAAGTTTCATAACAAAATTAGAAGCAGGTTATTTTAAAAGTATCAGTAAATAAATAATTATAATAAAAAATAAAATTAAAATTTGTTTGTCAAATAAAATGGAGAAAATTCAAAGAAATTACTTTAATGTTAATATTCACTAAAAATCTGAAAACTAATAAACAATACATCCTCGGAATAAAACAAATATACGTAATTCTGAGATTGTAAAAAACTTGTCTCATTCGCATACAAAATATGTACATCTAACCCACTATATTCCTATAGTTTGTTATTGTACTTTTGAAGCTATAATAATATTCTTGAAGCATTTTTATGGGAACAGTCGTTTTTGAGATAATAACCTGACTCACACTCAACAGAACTCTCTCTCTCTCTATAGAAACTATTTTCTACAGCTGTGAGGTGGACATAGCTGGCTCTTAAATTACGCCCGACTGCTCTTGGGTGGAGATTTTCTTTTCTCTTTTTTTCTCCTCTCCACAATTAAGTTCGTAGCGTCTCCGACCTGATTTGACTGTAAATCAAGGCATAGCTTACCGGATGTAAATAATTTTTGTATATTTTCTAGATTATTTCTAAAGCTTTCTTAACTTCTAAGTTATAACGCAGTGATGATAAAAATATTAATAAAAGTAACAAAAAAAAATAACTGCCAGTCTTTAACATCTCCTATAGGAAGTCCTGACTTCTTTGAATGTGCACATTATACAGAGTAAAAACAAGCTAATATACGTAAGTCTTGAGCGTGTGAGCTTATAATTGCATAGTCTGCCACGCCAAATCGCATTAAAAGCAATTTAAAATAATGAAGAATTTAAAGTTTAGCTTACAAATAAATATTTCTAAACTCTCTAAGAACTGCTTTAGGAAAACGAGTTTAAAATGTTACAAGGTAATGCTCATAGGAAACTATACTGGGAGTTTCCTTCTAACTATGGAAGTTTCCAAAGGCTAGTAGTAATTCATTGCGTTTGCCTCTCTTTGTTCAGAGTTTTGTTCGAAACAAAGACAAACAACTGCAACACCACAGCAATAACAAGAGCAACAATAACTAATTTAAAAGTTTTATTGTCTGATTTTATTTTATTTACAAGTAAAAGCGAATACAACAAGCATCACAACAAACGGGAGCAGGACGAGTACAAGGACCAGGGCGAGCCCCAGGTCAGGTCTGTACACTCATTATCAATTTAACTTTTTGATTTTTAAGCTGCGCTGTTTTTAACCACACGAACCCAAACACTTATACATAAGTACAGACACACACACACACACACACACATACACATAGGAGTCGCGCATTGTTGTTGCTACTATTTTACAGTTGCTTTATGTTTTGACCACCTTTTGCTACTTAAATGCCAAATTAAAACCGTGTGGTTTAAGGCCCGCAGCACTGCCATTGCAATTTAACACCCCACTCCCCTTCCCCTCCCCCATCCCCCATCCCCCTTCTCAACACACACACACACACACACACAATCCCGCCCCTGGGCCCAGTAAGCAGACTAAAATAAGCGTGCGTAATTTTATTTATGCCCCGTACACGGTTACATTTTGTAATTTTTGCATGTTGATGCGCCTGCGAGCTCGGCGTGCAACACGTCCAGTATGTCCAGTACGTCCAGGTTGGCGTCCAGAGCCCCGTCCTTCTTGCAAACTTTTTCGCTGCTGTTGTTGCTGCTGCTGCTGCTGCTTTTAATTTAGTCAACTTGTCGTGCGAGTGTGTAAAATGGCATTTAACGCCAAGCCCAGCCTCACCAAACGCCCAGCCGTTCAGCCGTTCAGCCCCCTCCCCACTTGGAGGAGCAAAAACGATGCTGGACTCGCGCTCACGTTGCCGCTGCCGTTGAACTTTACAACTGTCCAAATGAATATTTGCGGTTACGCTTAATTCACAAGTAAAACAGCAAGTTAAACGCTCCGTGCTTGGCCGTCGGGTCAGTTCTTGTCCCCTTTTTTTGTTGTTTTTTTTTATATATTTTTTTGCTATTCAAGCGAGCTCAAAGTTTTATTGTAAATAAAAAGTGGAACTTTTGGCGGCGGCGCCTACGTGCCTACTTGGCACTCTAGTTAATGCTAGCTAGATATTTATCCAGCTCCAAGAGCTTTAAAGCATGGCACATCAAACACCAGCTAAAAATTTCGACAATAATAACTATGAGGAACTATGGGTAGTATTCTTTAAAGTTTAAACCAAATACTTATTTCGCTTAATTGTCAAACGGCTTTGGAGTTAGTTTCACATTTTTCCCTCAACATTTTCTTGGAATACCTTGACAATATTCTGATTATCCAGATGCTTACACAACATGAAATGTTGTTTCAACAATTGGTTCTTCACTTTCTTTATTAGGAATTTCATTTTTCTTGTATATTATTGGAGAAAGTTTATTTTCCCAACGACAAGCAATTTATCCAATTCAATTAAATTCATCTATTAAGTGATACCAAAATACTCCACCAGCTGAACATAACTATTCTAAATTACCTCTTTTAACTAACTAATCACTAATATGGCAGATTAGTGCATGGCGGATGGTTTAATTTCCCAAGGCTGCTTGCAAATTGTATGCACATTTTCCTTTTAGCTGTTTATTAGATGCTTGCATTGTTTGTTAGTTACTTTTTAGTTGATTTTTACAAAGCAAAAGGAAAAACTTATATGCAACTCGTCATTTCCCAGCATTCACAATCGTATAATGTCGATATATCGGCCTACCAATATTGCAACTAAATAATAATTATACACTCTTCATTGAAAGCATACTAAATAATTTTCTATTCGGAAATGGAAACAACGGATTTACTTTTCCAAAAGCTAAGCTTTGAAAACAGGCTGAAAATTTTAGGTTTTTAATTTACAAACCATATTATTGCTTTAAAAAATATTGATTGCGCTATATTTCTCAAATGAGGCATCATTGTTATGCCTTGTGGCTCTTACTAGAGATAATTGTTTGATCATGCAAAAATCATTTCATTCAAGTTTACAAATATTATTAAGTTCTTTTAGTTTCTGACCACACGACATTCAAAACTCAATACTAAGGAAACTGAAAAGAGGTGGAAGGACAGCAATCTTCCGACTCTGCTGCTTGCATTTGAAAGAACTTACTCAACATTATTCTAGCAGACAGAGACACATTAATTGATTTTAAATATCTCTTGCAAACATAGATTTTTAAGCAAAATATTCCCCTTGCAATATTCGCACTCACATCTTAATTTGTACTTGAAAATAAGAAATAGAAAAACTAGTGAAGCCACAAGTCACAGCATAATCCAAAGTCCCCGGTCTGACAAGCTGTCCAGCCTACAACTGTCAGCCTCATCCTGTTGGCCCTCTCCTCTCGCACGACTGTCAACTGCTTGCCAAGAGCTGAAGGCTCCTGGCATGCCATGTGCTTGACTTAAGTCGGTAAATCGTAACTCACTATGTTCTTGTGTCGTTTTTGTTGTTGTTGGTGTTGTTGGTGTTGTCTGCCATTTGATGGCTTCCAACATGTTTAACATTCGAACTGCCTCTAATGTTTTTCTTATAGCCGCTGTTGTTGCTATAGTTGTTGTTTTGCTTTCACTACCGCGCCCATTTTCGACATTTTTATATGCATTCAGATACAAATACAAATACAAACACAAATAAACTGACCTCATTTGTATTCCAACGATGACGCTGTGACGGAAAACTGTCAGCTCTTGGCAAGCTCTCCAAATTGTCGGGTAGTTTGATGGGTTCGCCATCTGAAATTGAGCGAAACGAAAATAGAAAAAGTCGGGAGAAAAATCAACGCAAATGCATATTTTATATATGTATATAGTGTATATCGTATAGTATGTATGTAAGAGTAGTAGAAAGTGTAAGCAAGGGTTCATCATAGGGGCCCACAGGACATGGGTGTGAGTCTGTTGCCTGGCTGTTGTTCCATAAGTGGAAAGCAATGCAAATCAATTTGCAAAACCTTTCGCTTGCAGTGCTCATGTAGTTTAAGTTTGTGCAGCTGCCAACTGCATCTTAAAGAAGTTAAAACATTTAAGTCTAGGCTGTTGGCTGTTGGCTGTGGACTGGGATTGGGCTTCGCTTGGTCCGCCCAACAGGTGCAAATGTCGGCGGGCATAAATGCGACAAAAATGTAAATCAGCACCATGATTTATAGCATTTAAATGTCGCCTTAATAAAAGCGCAGGGACTCGACCATCATTTATCAAAAGGTTCAAGAACCAGAAACAAAAAAAAAACGATAAACAAAAACCGAAAGGATAAATAAATACATTCTAGTCAACTGCGTATTGTCAAAAACTTAAACGAAACGCATGCAAGGCCTCTGCCTGCTCTTCATGGGGCTTAAATATTTTAATATACATCATCAGTGTATATAACTGTTTGTCTGTATGTGTGTGTGTGTATTAGTGTTCGGGTGTATTTGTGTTGCAGACTTTGCTAGTCATTGAATAATTACGCGCACTTAATGGCGCTTGCAACGTAAATTCTCCGCTCAATTTTCATTTTCAACAACACATTGTCGTGGTTGTCGAACTATATGCTCTTTTATTAATATGCCACGCAACTACAACAAAGAACTCTCAACTACGACAACAACAAATTGTAGCAAAGCAAACTTTTGGCCAAACTGTAATTTAGCAAAAATGTGTAATAAAAGCGTACGCTCGACACATCCTCCAATATCTTCGCTCGCCACTCTCCTTGGTTGGTAAGCCTGCTAAGTCATCTATAGGCCAATATATCAAAGGCAATACCAACGACCCAGCAATCCTTCGAGCGAACGTACTACATTTACAGTTTTTGTGTGTTGTGCATAAATAGAATGCACTTAAGAGCCATAAAAAAGTATTGTACAATTTATATAAAGTGTTCCACGGCCTCAGCGCTGAGGCACTGAATGTCGAAGAGTCGTGCCAGCGTATCCAAAGTGTTGCCAAATGTTGCAGGCCAACCAAACAGACAGTGCGTGGGGGCCCCCGAGCGGGGAGATGTGTCGGAGATGGGTGGAGCGGCGGAGAGTGGCTCGGGGAAGGAAGGTTGCATCGCTAAGGTGCCTGATGATGACGTTGTCGCTCTTCGGCTCTCCGGCTCTCAGTTATTGTTTGTTGTTGTCGGTTTGGTTCGCGTTGTTTATGGCATTTTTATATGGGCGCACGTTGGCAACACGCACACAGGTCCTCACACACAGACTCATAGTTTAGTGCATTGTGACTACAAAATTTATTACAAAATTTTAGTTTGATTGCACACTCAAGTTTTATTGCTCAACTAATTTGTCATTTGGCGACTTGACGGCTTCACAGGGGAGAGGGTGCCGCTCAAACGCTACTTACAGGAAAGTACTCGTATGTATGTATGTGCACTGTAAAAAATTATGCGCTCCAAATTCTCAAGTCTCTCATGTCAAATTGATATTACTCTCCCTCAATAGTATTGGCAACTCAGCAAAGAGACAATATTTATTTGCCCTCCCGCTGTTAGATTCTTTAGACGGATTATCAATATGGTATCCGTATCTCCATAGGATCACTTCATTTCATTATTTAACTCTTAACCCAGGAAGGACTGACTTATAATCAAGAGTTAACATTTCTCACAATTTCATCGAAAGCTCTGCCAATTTCTTTTGTGTACGCAATTGTTAGACATTTTTTTAGAAGTCATATTTGAAAACTCAATTCAAAGCAATTATAAGTATATCAGTAATCCATAAAGTACAGTTGATCTGTTTTACTTTAAAACTGACCGAAGCACTGCCTATGTACTGCACTGTTTCCTTCCACTCATAAATTAATTTTGTTTGTTCAAAACAAATTTGAATTGCATTGAATCTTTAATTGTTTTTCCAGTGTAATAATAAACGCATACAATGGTATGTAAGCATGTATTATTTACGTGGTTTGAGTTGAGAGGGACCCACAATAATTGCCAAAAATGTCGAAACAATCACTGGAACAGCAACAGCATCGCTCACTCCTCGCGCTTCTTTATTATGCATTCTCTGTCATTGTTATGTTGTGTTTATTTTTTGTTTTTGCCTGAAATGTCAAACCGTGTGCCATGGCAGAAGAAAAACTCAACTCTCTGTTTGATTAATACAAATAAAAAGTTTTTTTAACTACGCTTTGCATATTTCATGGCGAAACGCTCAAAACTGACTGCTGGGGCACCGCCAGCCATAATAGACTACGACTGTCGCCCTTCATGCCTACCTGTCTCGCTTTTTGGCTGGTTGGCCCAAAGCCACTGCCAAAACCGCGTTACCAAAGCAAAAAAAATAAAATAAAATAAAAAGGAAAGAAGAACAGAGCCAGGTGAGACGCAAGGGCGCCTGGGAGGAGGAATATGGAGAGATGGGTGAGGCTGGGCAACTCCCAGGCGCGTAATGTCGAAGCCAACGTCAACGACGTGGCCGAAGGACATCATGGTGTTTTGTGCGGATTTTATTATTTTACGCGCCACACGGCGTGCGGCATTTTTGAATAGTGACAGCGTTTTTGGCACTACCTACAGACGTGGTGGCATGCAAAACTTTAAACAAAGGCCCGCTACCCTCTTCCCATCACACTTCATTTCAGCTGCTGATGCTGTCGCTGTCGCCGTTGCAGCCAGCGCCGCTGCTCTCCTGCTTAATTGTGACAAATTGCGTTGACAAAAACAAAGAGGAAAAAATGTGCACAAGTCCATAATTTCGCTTTAAAATAGAGCCCCCCGAGGGCGGCTCAGTCCAGTCGGGCAAGCCCAAAACTCGTTGCATACTTTAGAGCGTTCGCCCATTTTGTCCGCGAGAAGAATTGACATTGGCAAATAGCACAAAAGAGTTGACATAAATAATAAATTCTCGTTTTATGATTTCTGTAACGTGCGCTCAGGTAGAGCTGCCAAATTGTGGCTAATAAATTTCCAACAAAAAATGGCCCAAAAAAAAAGGTCAAGCCGAGTCACGTGACGGCCGACTGGCGGGCAAGCCCATGAGCCTATGCAACATTGCAGCTTTATCGTCCCTCTACGAGTGTACTAGTATGTTGTTCAAAGAAAAATTGTTTGCACTTTGTCGCGCCGCTGCGAGCAAAACCAGCAAGTGTGAAATTACTTTTGTTGTTTAGCCCACGTAGCCGCACAATTAAAACCCATTAAACTGTCTGCCAAAGATCTAAATAAAACTATGGCCACGATGCCCGTAACTCTGGCCTTTGTCAAGCTCCTGGGCTAAGTAATGCGAATGCATCTTTATTTATCAGCGAATGCTACACACACAGAAAACAGCAACATATCGAATTCAAGCTTCCATTATTTGTAGAAATTTTACATTTTGAATTGAAGACTTTTTTTAAATTTGGGCAATAGCAATTGAAGCTTTCAAATATAGCTTAGACAAAGAAAATCAAACGAAAAATCAAGAAATTCATTTGAGAGTTTAAATATATACAAGTATTACACATATAAAATCAACAGAAATGTATTGTTAATTTATATTCTTGCTTACGCATGAGAAAAAGCAAGTACTGTTATAAGAAATGATTATAAAACTTTTTTAACCTTTATTTCCTTTATAGAAACAGAGAAAATATTAACGTAGAAAATGGTGAACAAATAAGATTCTTTTTCAGTATTTATATGTCGCCCATAACTCGTCTAACTTAAAGAAATTTTATAAAAATAGATTAACTATCGAGAAATGTGCTCAAAACTACAAGCAGCTGCTTTTAGGGAATGACGCAGCCAACGCCTTCTGCATTAATCAGAATTGCCTCAAAACCCATTTGTTTTACTTCAAGCCAATGTTTTTAATCAATTCAGTTCATAACCATGACATGGCACTAATTTAATCAATTTGATGACTTATCTCACTTTTTTCTGTGTAGGAACTTACACCGAAGCAAGAAAGGTGCCCCAAAAAAACCTAAAGCCCTTAACTCGATTTATTTGTAGTATTTGCCTTCTTTAAATCATGACCCGACAGTAGCTGTGCTGGAAAAAGCCGCTATGCTTAACTAAACTAATTGGCCCCATATATTCGTACATACGTATGCGTAATAAAACAATATCTTATAAAAACTTTACAGACTACGGAAAAGGGCGCTCAAGTGCCCGACACAATGAAGCATTCAGATAAGATGAATGACGTCGTAGCTGCAAAGCAAATACCCCAAACGGAGACGTCATCATCGAAACAACAGCAAAGTTTTGAGATAATAACCTCAAATGGAAGAAAAAGCGATGCGCGTGTTGTCCAAAAAAATTTAATAGGGCGTGACCGAAACTGAAAGTTTCATGAACTACCAGAGCAGTGGAATTGAATGGGTAATCGGCCTTTCGGCCTGTTCTTGCTGCCAAAAACAATAATACAATAAAAAATTCCATTAACAATCATTAATAAGCTGACTTATGTACGAAATCTACTTGAGTGTGATTCAATAGAGAAAACTCGAGACTTGTCGAGAAACTGAGAGAGGCAAAAGGTGCGAGCAGAAAATGAGACATCTTTCTCAGATGCTTTATGTATTCGAGCACTTCAATTTTGAATTCCGATATACTCATTACTGAAACTTTAATGCGAAAGGAAAGGTGATCTTTAAAAATGTGAGAGTTGTGATCATCAATTCATTATTGATTCTCCATGCCTGGTAAAAATAATAACAAGCACAGGAATGAAAATAAAGAAAAATACAGGAAATAAAAGGAAATCCAACTGATGTCAATTATTCTAAAAACTTCTATATGAAATAAAGCTGAAACG